GAAAGGGAAGAGAAAGGAAACATAGGTAAGAGGTGGGGGAAAGGGAAGAGTAAGGAAACATAGGTAAGAGGTGGGGGAAAGGGAAGAGGAAGGAAACATAGGTAAGAGGTGGGGGAAAGGGAAGAGAAAGGATAGGAAAAGGAAGGAAGTGAGGAAAGGATGAGAGCAAAGAAAAGCAAAGGACACAACATAGGGAAGGAAATGACAGGAAAAGAAAGGATGGTAAAGGAAAGTACTGACATAGGGGGGAAATGAGAATGTAAGGAAAGAAAAGGAGAGTGAAGGAAATAAGAGGAAAATGTAAGGATTAAGGGAAGTAAGGGTGAACACTGCAGCAACAAGAAGACGTACTTTGACAGCCAGCGCCTCAGCACTCTCCCTGCAGGAGCGCTCCATCTGGAACTGCATCTCCAGAACGTTTATCTCTTTCAAGAGCTGATTCGACGCTGCAAATTAAAAGGGGGGGAGATGTGTTAGTCATTTAGAAGAGTAGATTATTTGTATGTGCGCATCTACATTTATTGTAGCCTTTCTTATTTTTGTCCATGCAGTGGAGGCTTAATGTTGTCTATAGGTGTGAAATTGAGAATGACACATGCTGGGATAGTCTCCACCCCCATATGGTCCTGAATGGGGACAGGCAGGTGAGGAAAAGGAACAAACGATCCTCACCTTCCTCCAGTTCAGACAGTCTCTGGTTAGCTTCATCCCTCTGGATTTCCAGGATCTCGCACTAACAGCAAACCAGGAGAAAGAGATCAATTAAGTAACTACAAATTGATGCTTCTGATTGTATTCAGATCGTCAGACTGTTGCAATTGCCTTTCTCAAGTTTGTAATAACGCTTTTTATTTTATCCTGCAATTTTCTTGCTTTTGGAAATGTTTGCTTTATTTATTTTTGTTTAAAAATGTGAACTTAAAGAACAATTTTAGTTCTTCTCTTTAACCAAAGTAAGCCTTTTAGATTTGTGTGATTTCTCTTTTTTACCCGCACATAGAAAGAAGTAATTGGACTTTGTTTCCATTTCCCATCACATAACAAAACGACAGTAATTAAGCAGTTTTACTTCCTGTCACTAACGATTATACCTGAATGTCTCCCTCATCTTCAGAAGATAAACCACCCTCTCCGTCAGACTCTGTGGGGGAAAGGAAATCATTTTATCTACACACACCAGACGGATTGTCAAACGGGCCGTGGCAACAGAGACGACGCTCTGCTGGGAGGCGAGATCATGGAAGATTCTCACATCCTGTCGACGTGACAGAGAGGAAGTTCATGAGGTCGTCTGAAGGAGATCGGCAAGCAAATACAGGAAGTGAAATCATGAAAAGGATCCTGAAAAACACATTTCACTTTCTGTCACCTCTGACTCATAGGAGTGACTGTCTCCTGCTTCCCTTTATTTGAAAATAATAAGAGCTCAGATATCCTAAAGCTAAAGTTTGACATTTTCAGGAAGATGTGCTAACTTACTGAACGATAAATGGGAACATTGATATCCTCCAAGAGAAGCAGAAAGTCGACCAGCACCTCCATGATTTAAGCATTTAATGTATTATGCCTATAGTATGGACATGTTGGAGAGTGTGTTTGCTTCAAGTGTCATTGAGGGGATCTCAAAAGGTTGTTGTCAGAAGTGGGATTCGAACCCACGCCTCCAGAGGAGACTGCGACCTGAACGCAGCGCCTTAGACCGCTCGGCCATCCTGACGTAAAATGTTATGTCATCACCTCTAAACGCAATCAAAATGATAATAAACGGTTCATTTTTCTTGTTTATTTTCAGTCCATTTATCTTAGTCAAGGTCAAATAGCTTGTATCAATCAAAAGGTACAAGCAGAAAGTCAAGTCACCATGATTTTTGACTAACACTGTTTTAGTGTGGGTTAAAACACACAAAAACAAGATAAGTGAACTCTATTTGGCCGGTAGGGTAATTTTTGCTTGCCAGGTTGTTGTTTCCAGTCTTTATGCTAAGCTAATTTGTTGTTGTTTTATATTTGGAGATTGGTATGACTTTTATAAATAATAAATCAGTGTATTTCCCGGCACAAATACAATTTATAAAACCTGTTTATATTGAATGAAAAATGTTTTTATTTTCACTAAATCTCCAACATTAAAGAAGTAAAACACTTAGATGATCTTACTTAACAAGTCCACACTAAAAGAACATGAATTATTCAGATACAGAAAACAGCAAAGGTCATCATGTAAATAAACTTAAGTATCTCTGCAGCAGTTTTCCGGTCTTACCTGACTCTGCAATGTCCTCACTTTGCATCCACATCCTGCCGTATGCAAAGTTTTTACCTACTTTACAAACTAAATCCAGGAGCACATTTTTGCATAACAAAAACAGCTCTCCGTTTGAGCCGCAGTGTTTAAGGAACCAAGTGGGAATCTCTGCTTAAACCCTCCCCCACTGGCTCAATTTCGAAAAGAGGAAGTTTTCCCTACACTGGTCAAAAGTCCATCTTAATCATCACAGTCTAGTGAGGATTTATAGCCAAATAAAAGTTTTTTTTGACACTTTTTGAATATAATTCAAAGTAAATATAGATCATATTAGATTTGATGTAACAGGTAAGTTAGAGGACGAGGCGTTTGATATTTTCCCCTCTTTTCATGCAGTGGAAATAGAAAAATGTAGACTCTGTACATCACGTGTCAAACTCAAGGCCCGGGGGCCAAATCAGGCCCTTGGTGGATTTAATTTCGGCCCGCAGGATAATTTTGAATTACTATTAGATCTGGCCCGCCGGTATATTGCACGCACACCTTCACTCCATCCTGAGGGTCTCCTCAGCTCAGAGCCTGACCCCAAACATTGATGAACTTGCACCCAAGATGAGATGCCAAGTATCTGGCTTGAACTAGCATCACAGAGCAGCACACTGAGATTACATGGATGTTTCCTTCTGCACTTTTTCTCTCACGACAACAGGGCATGTTTGTTATTCTCTTTGAGGGAAATAGTTTTTTTGAAGCTGTAGTTGGCCTGTGGAAAAATGTAATCATAAGAAATGACTCCGGAAAAGCTGCAGATGGGGCCATAAGAAATGAATGCAACTGATTATTTAATGTTTAATGTTGTTTTTATAGGCAATAGTTTAAGCTTTGTTAGTTCCAGGTTTAATATGCAATAAGTTCATTTCAATACGTTTTGCAATAATCATTGAACCAGTCCGGCCCTTGACTAGTAACCATTTTTTTTATTTTGGCCCACTGTGTATTTGAGTTTGACACCCCAGGCTTAGGGCATGAAGCAGATTTTGTGCACAGTGCACAACCTGTTTGTGTGAC